CCATTTCAATTTAAGGCACTTTAGCATTTCTTTTGCAGCAGGTCTGCTAGTGACAAACTGCCTCAGCTTTTATTTATCTTGGAATGTCTTGACTTCTCTCTTATTTTTGAAAGATAAATTTGCTTAATATAGAATTCTTTGTTGGAGAGTTTTGTTTTTGTTTTTGTTTTTTTAGCACTTTAAATATGTCATTCTGCTGCCTTCCAGCCTCCATGATATTTTATGAGAAATTAGCTGTTAATCTTATTAAGGATCCCTTGTATGTGATGAACCACTTTTGTTACTTTCAAGATTCTCTTTTTGTCTTTGACTTTCAACAATTGTGTCTCATTGTAGATCTCTTTGAATTTATCTTACCGAGAGATTGTTGAGCTTCTTAGAGTTCTGTAAATTTGAAGAGTTTTTGGCAATTATTCCTTCAAATACACTTTCTGCTCCTTTCTTTCTTGTCCTTCCCAAGGGCAACTTCCCAACTCCCATTGAGTTTATCTTGGCATTCTTGATGGAGTCCCACATGTAACTAAGGCTCTATTAATTTTTCTTTGTTCTTTTTTCTTCCTGTTCCTAAGAGTGGATAATCTTAATTGGCCTGTCTTCAAGTTTGCTGATTCTTTTTCCTGACTGTTCAGATCTGCTGTTGAATTTTTCATTTCATTTATTATACTTTTCAACTCTAAAATTTCTAGTTGGCTTATTTTATACTTTTTATTTCTTCATTGATATTCCCTGTTTGGTAGGACATTGTTTTCCTGGTTTCCTTTAGTTATTCATTCCTAGTTTCCTTAGTACTTTGGGCATAATTAGGACAGTTGATTTAAAGATCTTTATCTAGTAAGTCCAATAGCTGGAGTTCCTCAGGGATAGTTTTTCTTAATTTCTTTTTTCTTTGAGTGCTTCATAACTTTTTGCTGAAAACTGAATATTTTAATATTATAATGTGGTAACTCTGGAAATCAAATTCTTCCCTCTCTCCAGGGTTTGTTTTTGTTGCTCATAGTTTGTAGTTGTTTAGTGACTTTCCCAGACTACTGTTATAAAGACTACTTTTTTTGTCATGTGTGGTCATAAAGTCTCTGGTTAACTTAGTGGTCAACTAGTGAAATTTGACAGACTTCTTAAATACCTGGAGCCAAAAAAACAAAAAACACTCTCCCAGTCTTTGCAGATTAACTGTGTTGAGGTACACTCCTTCAGTGCTTTTAGCCAGGCTGTTTACATCTCTGCTTTGTCTTTCATGTCTCACATGTGCAGAGACCAAAGGTCAGCCAGATGTGAAAGACTAGGGTGTTCTCAAGCTTTTTCTAAACATGGTTCCAACCCTGGGCATGCATGTGCCCCTTTAGATTCCCTAGTATATGTGGAAACTTTCAAAGTCTTTATTCCCTCATGTATTTTTCCCCCAGCATCATCCTCTCAGGTTTTTTTCATTTCTGTACTGTGTGGAGGTTGTGTCTCTTATATTTCCTTTTAAATGATTTTGAGAGATGGTGTCCAGGAGAAAGTTCCAAGGTGGGCAAAACAAAAGTAAGCTCCTTAGCCAGTCCTTCAGGGAATCTCCAGACACGTCAAACCATGTAATCAGAGTTACTTGAGAGAAAAGTCCATAATACCCTCTCTGGTATCAGCAAACCACACCAGGAACATGAGCTGCCATCCCCACAGATGCCACCAAGCTGGGGAGTGGGGGATAGGAAGTGAGTAAGTTAAAACACCACAGTACTCTCTTACCAAAATAGAGCAGTTTCTTTCCTCATTAAGCATTGCCCTGACTGTGGTAAATTTTTAAGTTAGTTTTCAGAGCTCTGATAAAGTTGATTCTGACAGTTTTTGCCAGCTTAACTGTTGCTTTAGTGAAGGGACATAGATTTGGAGTTCTCTACTTTGCCATTTTTGGCAATGTCAGTCTTATATTTGTATAATTTTAAAAATCATTTTTGGGGCACTGGGTGGCTCAGTTGGTTGGGCATCCAACTCTTGAGTTCAGCTTGGGTCATGATCTCAGGGTCATGGGATCAGGCCCCATGTAGGGCTCTGTGCGCAGCAGGGAGTCTGCTTGAGGATTCTCTCCCTCTCCTTCTGCCCCTCCCCCTGCTCACACACACATACTCTCTCTCTCAAATAAATGGATGAATCTTTTAAAAAATCACTCTTATAATTTTCTGTGAATTGTGTATTCACTTACTTTGTTCATATTTTGCTGGGTTATTAACTTTTTCTAATTCATTTACAGTTATTTACATAGTAGGGAAATGAACCACTTGTCTGTGATGGGAGTTTCATATACATATTTCCCAGTTTGTCATTTGTCATTTGTCTTTGTAATGGTTTTGCCACTCAGATTTTTTCATTTTTCTTTTGTGTAGTTAAATTTATCAGTCTTTTTCTATCATGACTTCTGGACTTTGGAATCCTAATTATCAAAGGCTTTACCTACTCTAAAATTATAAAATGATTCATCCCTATTTTCTACTAGAATGTTTATGGCTTAATTTTCTCACATTTAAATTCTTTTTTTTTTTATTCTTATGTTAATCCCCATACATTACATCATTAGTTTTAGATGTAGTGTTCCATGATTCATTGTTTGTGCATAACACCCAGTGCTCCATGCAGAACGTGCCCTCCTCAATACCCACCACCAGGCTAACCCATCCTCCCACCCCCCTCCCCTCAAGAACCCTCAGTTTGTTTTTCAGAGTCCATCGTCTCTCATGGTTCGTCTACCCCTCCGATGTCCCCCGCTTCATTCTTCCCCTCCTGCTACCTTCTTCTTCTTCTTTTTTTTTTTTTTCTTAACATATATTGCATTATTTGTTTCAGAGGTACAGATCTGAGATTCAACAGTCTTGCACAATTCACAGTGCTTACCAGAGCACATACCCTCCCCAGTGTCTATCACCCAGTCACCCCATCCCTCCCACCCCACCCCCCACTGCAGCAACCCTCAGTTTGTTTCCTGCGATTAAGAGTTCCTCATATCAGTGAGGTCATATGATACATGTCTTTCTCTGTTTGACTTATTTCGCTCAACATAATACCCTCCAGTTCCATCCACGTCGTTGCAAATTGCAAGATCTCATTCCTTTTGATGGCTGCATAATACATTTAAATTCTTGATCCAGATGCAGGATCTAGTTACAATGTAGCTGTAAAGTGCTGCCTTGTCTTTGCCCCCTGCTCAAAATAAAGCTGTTACCTTTCTAGCCCTGTCCGCCATGGTGCTTAGCAGCCAGGGATGCATGGTCTCAGACATGTTTACCAAGTAAAACACTGACTTGAGGGGCGCCTGGGTGGCTCAGTCATTAAGCGTCTGCCTTCGGCTCAGGTCATGATCCCGGGGTCCTGGGATCGAGCCCCACATCGGGCTCCCTGCTCAGCGGGGAGTCTACTTCTCCCTCTCCCACTCCCCCTGCTTGTATTCCCTCTCTCGCTGTGTCTCTCTCTGTCAAATAAATAAATAAAATCTTTAAAAAAAAATTAAAAAAATAAATTCTTGATCCATTTTGGATTTATCTTAACTTAGTAAGTTGTGATTAATAGATCTAACCTTTTCCCCCCAAGATATTCATGTTCTTGAAGAAGAGATATTCTTAAGTTTAGCAAGTGTTTATTAGTATCAGGTAGCTTCTGTGAAAATATGAGTAGTTAAATTACTGGCATTGCTCTTGTTTTAGGATGACTTGGTTTTTAATTCTAGCCCTTGTCACTTAATCACTGTATGAACATGAGCAACCCATTCACCCAGTGGGAATTTTCTGTTTCCCAATCTGTAAACAGTGATAATAGTTTCTGCCCAGGCTATCACAGGGGATTATTACAAAATTAGCCAAGACAGTGTCTATGCCAGGGACTGTGGATGCATACAATGCTAACCACAATGTAAGGCAGTAGTAATGATAAGAATAAAATCATAGCAGCACTTTGTATTTGAATGGTGCTCATTCCCATCTAAATACAACAACATTGAGACAACCCAGTGCAGTGTCTGGCACATAGTAGGTACCTGATTAGTATTTGCATATTTTTTGAATCTCTATTGAATCTTTACTATTTGCCAAGAACTACAATTTATTTCACTAAGCAAAACACTCCAAACTCATGAACTCACTCATGAAATTTATGTTCTGTTGGGATAGAGAAGTACAATAATCAAAATAAGTAAAATGTATAGTATATTAGCTAATGAGCAATGATAAGGAGAAAAATAGTCAGGGAAAGAGTATTGAGGGTTGAGAGATGCAATTCCAAATAGGACAGTCAGAGAAAGCCACTCTGAGAAGGTGGCATTTGCACAAAGACATAAAGGAGGTGGGAAGGAAAGTGAGTTGTGTGGCTGCCTGGGGGAAGAGCCAGGCAGGCAGAAGGAACAGCAAGAGCAAAGGCCCTGAGGTTGGAGGATAAGCAGAGGCTAGAGCAGCTGAGCACAATAAACAAAGGTGAGAATATTGGAGAGTAAGGGAGGGCAAGGGGCTGAGGAAGGAGGCCAGATCATGTACAGCCTGGAAGGGCATCATAGGGAGTTAGGCTTTTATTCTGTGACAGATGGAACGCCACTGGAGGGTTTCAAAGAGAATAGTGACGTGACGTGATGTGACGTGACTTGGGTTCTAACAGGAGCCAGGATCCCTCAGTCTGGTGTGTGCAGAATAGATTGAAGAGGGGCCAGGGAAGAAAGCAGAGTGCCATTAGGAGGCCCTTGCAGGCATCCAAGCAAGAAATGATGGTGGCTTGGGCCATGTCAGTAGGAGTGGGGGAGCAGGAAAGTGGGTGGATTCTAGATCATTCTTGAATGTAGAGCAGACAGGCTTCCTGGTAACTTGGATGGGATGTGGGGTGTCAGAGAAAGAAAGGGGTTCAGGATGCCTCCAAAGTTTTTGTTGGATAAAAAGGAGTCACCAGTTTTGTACCTGAGGAAACTGAGGCACACAGAAGTGAGGGGGCTCCAACCAAGGCCTGAGCACTGGCCCACTGAGCACCTGCCCACTTGTTCCTCATTGCAGAGGAAAGTCTGGAGAGGTGCGCAGCCCTACCAGGTGGGCAGCCTCGCCCTCCGACTGCCCGCTGGTGCTGCGGAAGCTCATTCGCAAGGAAGACATCCGGGCTGGCTGCCGGTGCACGGTGAAGGCACCCTTGGTAACGGATGTGGAGCTGGAGCGCTTCCTGTCCGCACCCCGAGACCCCAGCCAGGTACTGGTGTTCGGGATAGTCTCAAGCCAGAACCCCACCAGCACCGCACAGCTCCAGTGGCTGCTCGACACACTCCATAGTCACCGGCAGCAGGGCCGCTCCTCGCCCTGCATCCAGGTTGGTCCAGGGCCCAGCTCGGGAGGCCTCAAGGGAAGACCGCCCCCCAGGGGCGCTAGGACTGACTGAGCATCTGGCTGAGAGGCTGCCCTCTCATGGGCCCCCTTTCACTTCCTTTTCTCCTTGGGGCCTTTGCACACACTCTTCAACACACCATCTGCCATGTTTCGCCTGTCTTCTCTCTCTCTGACTCATCCTCCTGTCCGGAGACGAATGTCACCACATCAAAGTGGGTGCTCTTTCTGACCTTGAGATCTTTTCTGCCATTTTCATCCAGAGCACTCCCCATAGCGTGTGGTTATGTATTGGTGTGAGTACTTGGAGCAGAGATGGACTCCCCAATGGATACTCAGGACTCAAGAATGTTCATAGACTGTGGCTGAGTACCTACTGTGTGCTGGCCCCGTGCCAGGCCCCGAGGGGCTCCCAGCATGGTGGGGCAACAGCTATAGCAGCCCTGAGCAGGGCCATGAAAGGCCAGCTCCGGGGGGTTCAGGAGCTGGGAGCAGGGCCTGCCACCTCCAGAGAGTCAGGGAGAGTCTCCCAGGATGAGAGGGTTCGGGCAGGTGGGTGAGTGTTCCCATCAGAGGCAGCAGCCTGTGCAAAGGTGGTCAGGGAAAGGGGTGCTTGAGGTCCCTGTTCATTGTGGTTGAAGTCTCAAGGATCTGCAGGGGCACATAGAACACCCCCTGGTCCTGTCCTGCCTGCAGGGTCGTTCCTGAGTCTCATCATCATCCTCCCTCAGTAACCTTCCCTGGCAGGTTTAGCACAGTTCAGGGGTGACCCCATCCCCACTCCAACTGGAGGAGAGGATGCCATGTGAGCACATCAGCTTTGTGTCTACCTGGTGACTTCTTTCAAATCCTCTTGGCCCTATGCCCTCTCTGTTCCACTATCTGCCCCTTCTCCCTTTACTACAGTCCTGACTTCCAAGTTTTTGTATCTGCCCTGGGGATACCCTCTCCAGCTCTCCTCCCAGGACCATGGCCTCCCTGACCCTATGTGCCCACCCTTGTGCCTGCACTCCAGCCAGTGCCAGGAGCTTGGCATTGGAACCCTTCTGATCAGACACCAAAAGCCTTTTTACTAGTCTTGTACATCCAAGCTGTGTATTCTAGAGTCATCCCCAATTTACATAGACTTAGTGAACACTTACTGAGTCCTGCCCTGTGCTCATCGGTGTATAGACACAGGATCCCTGCCCACATGGGAACTTAGAGGTGACTTTAGTTTACCTCAAAGCTATTAATTTTTCATTAATAGTTATCTGTAAGCATAAGATGCATGGCAGTCCAGGCCAGCTGTGAGTAGCATGAATGGGGACTGGGCCTGACCTTGAATCTGAGGTAGGAGTGGGCAGTGGGATTTGAGGAGTGTGGAGGACAGTTCTGGAGGGAGGTGTCAGGTTTCACAGTGACTCTGGTTTCACCATCCCAGTGTGTGTGATTAAGACAGAAATGTTCCTTAACATTGTCTTACTCTGAAAGCTAGAACGCCAGATATAGTTCTGGATTTCACATTTTAAATAGAAACATCAGGCAGGACAGCTGGAGGCACCTGGAATAAAAGGCAGATTAAACCAGAAAACATTATACATGAGCTATTTTAATGGATTTGTAGCATCCAGAAAGAAGGAAGAGAAAGAGACCCCCTTTACTCTGGATTGACCAGGCCCCACCTTGAGATGTAGGTTTGATTCAGGTCCCAGCACTGGACCTAATGACAGGGAGGTATCCAGAGGGCAGCCAGCAGTGGTAGAGGGTGGAGGAATCCTGAAAATGGGTACACCCATGAATATGGTATACCTTCAAATCTCCAACATGGCTTCTTCCAGGCAGAGGGAACAGTCAAGTCCTGCAGACCCTTAGAGGGTGGAGCTAGTGGGGGTCATGTGGTGGGGGGCAGTTATCTCCATGACAACCTTCACCAGCAGAAGGCCCTAGATGGACCTAGATGATCATGGCAATGGTCATGGGAGGTGTGCATGTGGGGGCTGAACAGCCTGTTGAGCAGGAGTTGGGAGGCCGTGTTGAATGGGGCTCCAGGACTCCATGGAACCTGGTCAGCCTGAGAATGCAGGAATCTGAGTGCATCCTCTTGGCATAGGATTGATGGGCACTTACTTCTGTCTTGGCAGTGCCGGCATGACCCATACCGCCTGCTGCGGTATGACCTGGACAGCTCTCTGCAGAAGGACCCACCCCTGCTGGTGAAGAAGTATGCTGTGGTGCCAGGGATGGTTCTGGTGAGCCGGGGCCAAGGGGGGCACTCACCGCCAATTGCCTGCCAACAGCCCCTGTCTCCCACAGCCCCTACCTTTGTGGAATCACAGATATGGGAGGGAGAAAGAGAGAGGGTCTGTGAGATCTGAGGCCCAGAGAGCAGAAGGTCTGACTGAGAGTCACCCAGCTTATAGAGTCAGGGCTGGAGTCCAGTCTCCTGTTCCCAGCCTGACCCCATCCATCCCTCATCCTGGAAGACTCAAGGGAGCAGGGCACACCTAACCTAGAGAACCAAATTCTCTTCATCTGGTTTTTTTGCTTTGTTTTGTTTTAGAGATTGATTGATTGATTAGAGAGAGAGAAAGAGCGTGAGTGGGAGAGGGACAGAGGGAGAGGGGGAGAGAGAATCCTCAAGCAGACTCCCCACTGAGTGAGGAGCCCCATGCAGGGCTCAATCCCAGGACGCTGAGATCATGACCTGAACCGAAATTAAGAGTTGGACATTTAACTTACTGAGCCACCCAGGCACCCCCCTCTTCATCTGTTTCTAAGTAACTTTTTACTAAAAACAGGGCATTGTAAAAAAATATATATTCATTGTAGAAAGTTTAGAATATACAATTTAGAGGGGTGCCTGGGTGGCTCAGTTGGTTAAGCATCTGCCTTCGGCTCAGGTTGTGATCTCAGGGTCCTGGGATCAAGCCCCGCATTGGGCTCCTTGCTCAGCGGGGAGCCTGCTTCTCCCTCTGCCTGCCACTTCCCCTGCTTCTCTCTCTCTCTCTCTTTCTGTGACAAATAAATAAATAAATAAAATCTTAAAAAAAAAGAATATACAATTTAGAAAATAATGACTTCCCCGTATTACCCAGATTGCCTCATGCAGCAAGTATGTACTGGGCACCTGCTAGATTCAGCACAATTGGAAGCTCTGGGGCACACCCCTGCTAACATTTTGGCCTCTGGCTTTTTTAGTTTTTTTTCTGACTTTGGGGGTACTGCTTTTTTAAATTGTTATTTTAACCACTGCATAAGAATCTGACATTTGATTTCTCTACCTGTGAGCCTTTTGTTGGACATTTAGGTTATTTCCATGTTGGCCGGGCGGGGGTAGAGGGGACATACCAAATAACACTCTAATGGATATCCTTGCACAAAAATCTTTGGACACGTGTCTACTTGCTGGAGACTGACATTAGAGGGTGGGGGTTCAGAGAGCAGTAGGACAAGATCCCTGCCCTCCAGAGGCTCTCATCCCATGGGACCAGCTGATCAGTGCATAGGGATAAGTGGTCCAGTCAGCTGTAGGTGGGTGTGGTGGGGCCCTCTGAGCAGGAAGAAACCCTTCCAGCCCCAGGGCTATGGAGCGCTTGTGTGTGAAGTGGCATCTGAGCAGGTGGGCCAGCAGGGGGCAAAGGTTGGGATGGTGGGGCTGCCATCTGACTTGGGAGGACTTGATGGGGAACAGGCTCAGCCACACTTCCCTGGGCGGCTTGGGGAGGGCAGCACCCTTCCCCCCACTGCTGAAACCATCAGAGAAAGGCCTGGCTTCTGGCACAAGCTCTGAGAGCCCATGGCACTGGCCTGAGATTCAGTGCTGGTGTGCTGAGGGCCTCTCCCGCCATGTCCTTCCTGTGTGTCTACAGATGTTCGCAGGGGGGAAGCTCCTTTTTGGTGGCTGCATTTTGAATGGATATGGCTTTAGCAGGCAGAATCTGCTGAAACAGATCTTTCAGGCTCAACAAGACTGCAAGATGGGCTACTTCCTGCCAGACAACTACAAATTTAGGTAAAACAGGAAAAACTCGGGATGCAGGGGCAGGCATGGGGTGGGAGGAGACCTTGCTCTGGAAGGGACACTGGTGGGGAAAGAAGCTGGCAGCAAGCAGAAGACTTCACAGGTGGCAAGGGGGAATGAGGCCATGTTGTTGGTTTCTCTGGGACACAAGTTGGGGGAAAGGTCCCTCTTGGAGAAAGGGGGACACGGGATGGTTTGCACAGTGCTGGTTTCTGGGGCGGGGAGGCTCATGAAGACAGGTTTGGGTAGGGGTCCTAGGGACACCTCCACCTTTTTCCCCATCACACCCCATCCCAGTCCTGCTTCTCTGTTTACCAGCAGGGCCACGTAGGCAAGGGTTCCTCAGGAAGTGAGCTCAGGCCCTTGTGAAGGGAAATGGGGTGGTGCTGGCTTAAGACTGCCTCTTGGCCACTGAGTGCAGGTTTTTCAACCAGGTGACGCCCATCTATTGAGTGCCTCCCAGGCCTAGCTTGGGTGAGATGAACAAAAGTTGGTCTCTTGGCTCAAGAAGCATGCAGCCTGGTCCAGGGAAGGAGCCCACAATTTATGACATTGCTAGAGGCTATGTTAGGAGTGGATTCTGGAATGCCTGGGCTGTACAGTGCAATGTAAACCTTACTGGGTCAGGGGTCCCAAGACGAGGCGGGAGCCCCAACTCTGCTCTTTATAAGCCAGGGGTCCATTTGCCTCCCTAATCCTCATTGTCTTCACCTTTAAAATGAGGATGGTAAATCCCACCTCTTATGAAAGTGTGTTTGCCGAAGTGCCATATAAACCACAATGAGGAGCAAACACACCAAAGGCCAAAGCATTGCCTGCCTGCGCACAGGGGCTCCCTCTGCCTGCACCCCTAGCACGCTGAGTCGACAGCAACCCAACCCGTTCCCACCAGGCCCCTCAGCTTTCTAGGAGTCCTGACGCCAATTTCTCCCCAGCACACTGAGTTTGAGCTGTGCCAGAATGTCTGCCTGACCCTAAACAGGTTCCTCTAGAAGGAACCATAGAGGTCACACCCTGACCCCAGCATCCTAGACCGCTTAGTAGAGAAGGCAGGATCCCCAGGAGCCCGGGGACATCAGGAAGGGCAGATGCTGCCAGGTGCAGAGAAGAAAGTCATTGAGACCCCACCGCCGAAGACTCAAGGAGGGCTTGGGGGTCCTTCAAGACCAGCTAGCTCATTGACAGTCCCAGGGAAAAAGGGAAACGGAGGCTGTGGGTCTGCTCAGGTTCAAGAAAGAACGATGGGGAGGATGCCATCCAGAAGGCCCAAACTGAAGATGAGCGGAGGCCACTGGCAGATGCCAAAAACAGCAAGCAAAGGCATTTCAAGAGACATTTAATGGATGGGGTGCTTGTGGGTGTGGTAGATGGGGAGTGAGAGAGGCCAAAACTAGTTACAAGGAGATGTAGCTCTTCATTTGGCTGCCACTGTCCTTGCAAGGACCGTTTACCCTCTCTGCCTCAGCTGCTTTGTCTGTAAAGCAAGAATGAGCAGTTTTCATTGCCCTGGGTTGTGCGGATTAGATGAGTTAGGTAGGTGAGAAATTCTGGCACATCACAAACATTTATTGAGAGGTTATAAGTTACAGTTGTTAGTGCTGTTATTATTGCTAAAATGAATTCTATGCTCCTAATTTGTTACATACAAGGGTTCTGAAAGGACTTCATGCTTACAACAGATTTCAGTAAGTTTTTGAGGAATGGTGGGGAGAGAATCAGCAAACTGCCCACACACAAACACAGACACACACATACAGACACACACACAGATGCACACAGAGACATGCACACAGACACACTGAGACACACAAACACACAGATGCACACACAGACAAAAACACACACAGATACACACACAGACACACACATTCATGCACAGTCTAGGTTTTTGAAAGTGGAAGGGGGAGGATTCCTGAGATTATAAACCAGTAGGACTCCTCTTAATTATAGAATGGCCTATTAGGTTGGCAGTTTGAAAGCACTTAGAGAAAAAAAGGAATGGAATTTGACAAGAAAATGTTGCCATAACAACAGCTCTTTTATCTACATCTGTGAAAGGAACCACCTCAAGCTCAGTGATGTAAAACCACACAGCCATTTCCTATTATTGTCTCTGAGGGTCTGGGGGCTGATGGGGCTCAGCTAGGTAGTGCTTGCTTGGGGTCTCTCATGTGGTCACGTCAGAAGATGACAGTGGCCAGAGTCATCTCAAAGACTTGCTCATTCCCATACCTGGCCATCCATGCAGACTTTCAGCCAGAACACTTACCACCTGGCTTATCCGTGTGGCCTGGGCTTCCTCAGACATGGTGGGTGGCTCAGTTCCAAAGCAAGTGTCCTGAGATGCAGCCAGGTGGGACCTGTGTTGCCTCCTAAGTCAGGTAGCATCACCTTGCACTGCACATGAGTCCCTAGGGCCAGCCCATACTCAAACGAGGGGAATGAGACCACACCTCTTGATGGGAGGAGTGTCAAAGAATTTTTGGACGTGTTCTACCCCCAGCCACTGGTCCGATTCCTCTTCCAGCAGGGTAACTAGAATAGGAGTGAGACATGCTGTCAGCCTAGAATAACTTCAAGGAAGACACTGGGTGAGATCTCTTGATGTCCTTACGAACAAGATGGTTGGATGAGGCTCAGGCAGATGCTTGTTCGGCCAAGTGATCACCAGCAAGTGGTGATTAGCCTGAAGGGCAGACCTCTGTGTTTGGCCTGTCCACTTTTCCCCTAAATATGTAACTTGGATGTGTTCGTGGAAGGCTGATCGATCAGTTGTGCCCTAGGTGGGGAAGGATGACAGAATGGAGGTTCGCAGGAGGCTCAGCCGCCAAGCAGTGGTTATGGAAAGTGCCAGCATGACAGAGCGCCATGCTGAAAAACAACCTAGAAGTCAGCGCTGTCGGTGTAGCCCAAGGGAGATGCTCTTCCTGGAGTTCTAGTGTTTTCATTTCTGGGTCCTCTGTTACAAGAGGGGGCTGGCAGACAGCCTCACATTCACAGCTAGTGGGGGGGCCCTCACTGTCTCTGGGCGGGAATCATTTCTTCCTTGCCAGAGTAGACTTCCGATCTGCTTGGTTCTGTACAGCTCTAGTGGGAGGATTCGAGGCAGGGAGCTGAGAGGGAGAGGATACAGGTCTGCAGAGTAAATGCAGGGAGGTGGGCAGAGCTGGAGGACAGCTCCAGAAGGCCTGCGCTGCTCACTGGGCACTCAGAGGAGCCAGCCGCAGAGACAGCTGTGGGTTGGGAAGGGCTGAAGGTCTCTCTGTACCTGTTAAGCCGGGTGTCCTGCATCACACGGCCCACCTCCCTTCTCTTTGTGTCCTTTGCTCAGCCCCAGGGCCTGGCACATAGAACCCCCTGGGGACATGTTCACTGAATGATGACCTCGAGCTGATTTTATCCCCAGGAGGCAGAGGTCAGGTCAGACTGAGGAAGGGCTGATTGACAGAAGGTCTACTGATAACCAGTAGACCATGGTCCTCTGGCCGCTCCTCATATACCTCCTGTGAGGGAGGCTCCTCTCCCCAAAAGCAGCCCTCGATTTTAACCCAAAAGTCATGCCCCTCCTACTGCCTGCCCGGGCTCGTGCTCAGCACTGGGGATTTGGAAGTGAACATGATCTCTACCTGCTTTACCTTGGCCAATCCAAAGACGCAGAAATCGATAAGAAAACGAGTAAAGGGAACTAATCATTAGAGGAATGCAAGTCAAAACCACCGTGAAATACCACCTCATACCCATTAGGATGGCTACTATCAAAAAAACAAAAACAGCACGTTTTGGCGAGGCTGTGGAGACACTGGAACGCGCGTGAGCTGCGGGCGGGGATGTGACACGGCTTGGCCACTGTGGAAAACAGTTACACAGCATTATGATTCAACAATTTCACTTGTGGGTAGCTACCTAAAAGAGCTGAAAGTGGGGTTTCAAAGAGATATTTGTACACCTGTGTTCATAGCAGCATTATTCATAATATCCAAGAAGAGGACGCAACCCAAGTGTCCATCAGTGGATAAACGGATAAAAAAAAATGTGTTCTGTGCATACAGTGGAATATTGCTCAGCCTTAAAAAGGAAGGAAATCCTATCACAAGCTACAACATGGATGCGCCTCAAGGACGTTATGCTCAGTGAAATGAGCCAGTCACAAGAGGACAAACACCGCATGATTGCACTTACATGAGGACCACAGAGGAGTCAAATGCACAGAGACAGATAGGGTGGTGGCTGTCAGGGGCTGGGGAAGGAACAATGGGGAGCTGGTATTTAATGGGGACAGAGTTTCAGTTTGGGAAGATGAAAAAGTCTGGCGGTAGATAGTGGTGATGGCTCTACAGCAATGTGAATGTACTTAATGCCACTAAAGTATGCATTGGAAAATGGATAAATGTTATGTTCTGTACTTTTAACCACAACTTAAAAGTGGGGGGTTAGGGAAGATGCTCTGTGGGTGCTTGCAGCTGAGGGAGGGGGAAGGAAAGGGGCTGTTTTCCCCTGTTAGCGAGCTCCCAGGGCAAGGGCTGATTTGGTCTCCAAAGCCCACCCTCTCTGCTCTGGTAACACTGGTCCCATTCTCCATCCGCCCAGGGCCAGGCAAAGGAGACGGTTTCCCCAGCGGCCAGTACGTTTCATTTGTCAACAGCCCCAGGCCTGGTGGAGGGCTTCACCTGGGGACACTGCTGATGCTCCCCACATCCTGGTCACCCTGACTCTCTCATCTTGTAACCTGCTATTGGAAGCTCTCACCTAGGGGTGCTTTTCCAGTGCCCCACTCGGCTGGATTCCCATTTCTCCATTCACCTGTGCTTTGAGTCCCTAGGAAGTGCTGAGCTGTGACCCATCTGGGGGTGGGGTGGGGTGGGGCGTGGGGACAGGAGTAGGAGTCCTTAGCACCACCATGGTGCTCAGGAAGTCTCAAGAGACCCACTCCCAGAATCTACTTTCCTACCACCTTTGTCCAAATGGGACCAAAGGGGACAGGGGAGACGGCTCAGTCCATACCTCCATTTTTAATTTTTCTAGCGTTTTCAAAATGATGGAAGATGCCCTCCTCTCCCCTCCCCCCTGCTCGTCTCTTGTCCCCAAAATGCCTTGCTCTCAAGCAAGTGGCATAGCAGGGGCTCAATAAATACGAAGAAACAATGAAACAACAGGGCCTGTCCTGTCTCTGTGCCCTGTCTCTGTATTCATTAGTTTCTTAAGACTCCTGTAACAGTGGTCCACAAACTGAGTAGCTTAAACTGAAATGTATTATGTCATGGTTCTGGAGGCCAGAGACAGAGATGTAGGCAGAGAAGTGCTAGGGTGCTAGGGAAGGCCTTGCTCCAGGCCAGTCTCCTGGCTTCTGGTAGTTCCTTGGCTTGTTACTCCAGGCTTCACGTGGTGTCCTCCCATCTGTTTATCTGTGTCCACATTACCCCCTTTTTTTATAAGGACACCAGGTATGTTGAATTAGAGGTCCACCCTACTCCGGTATAACTTCCTCTTGACTCATTACATCTGCAATAACCCTATTTCCAAATAAGGTCACATTCTAGGGTACTGGGGGTTAGGACTCCACCAACCTTTGAGTTTGGGGAGGGGGACACAAGCAGCCCGTAAGACTCTACATAATGGCTTATTTCCTTGGCCTCCTGTGCTCTCTCCTTTGCTCACTTACGGAGCCCTCCTGCCCCACCGGTGGTCAGTGCTGGGTGCACAGATGTCACTGACATAGAGTCAGGGTGACTCCGACCTTAAACAGAGGCCAGAAAAAACAAGCTCCAGGGAGTCTCTGGGTCCCCAGGGGTCAGGCTCTCCCTTTACCCACCCTGGGGAGGAGAAACGCTGCACTCTTTTCTCTGTTGGAGCTGGAATGCTAAATGGCAGTACCAAGCAGGGGCTACTTACTCGGGGCCCCCTCTGGCTGTGCCTCTGCTGAGCCTTGCCCTCCCTTCCCTGCCTCCCCTGCAGCATTCCAACCTATATCCCAGTCCTGGAAGACCCCGACTCAGCCAAGAAAGCAATATCGGCAGACATCCAAGAAAGCTTCTCCTCGTTGGCCATGGGGGACAAGATGGAGGAGTCCCCTCCTGAAGCTGAGAAGAAGTAGGTGGCCACCCCAGCCCCAGGGCTGAGGGGCCCTCCTGTGATCAACAGAATGGGCATGGCTCACAGCAGGGCCCCTGGCTCTGCCACAGGCCACAGAGTTCATGTGGGGCTAAGTGGCTTTGGGCAAGTCACTCCCCCCCGCCCAGGGCGTGGGTCATCTCCAACCATCCCTGATATCTGGCCCATTTAATCAATACCATGTCTAGCTGGGCAGCAAGCCTGCTCCCGGAGCTGCAGGCAGCGGTCTGGGTGGTGGAGATTGAGACCTTTTGTAGACTTTGCAGTGAAACCCTACAACCCAGACCCTCAGTCTGAGAAGGGTAGAGACTGCCTGCCGTCTCCCTGCAAGAAACCTTCAAGACCTGCCAAAAGTCCACTAACTTGGCCATGTTAACTGAAGCGAATTACGTATTCTGCAAGAGTGTAAAAATCACACAATTCTCCTGAAGATAGAAAAGCAAAATTGTGAGCACCTAGAAAGGTCACAGGTGCCTCTGGGTCCCCCAGGTTGGAGCAACACCCAGAGGGCTTCAGCTGTGCATGGCGGAGGGCCAGGCGCACTTCTGCTCAGGCCAGGGCAGGGCTCTGAGCGCTGTCCACACCAGTTCTCTCCACCCATTTCCCAGCATTTGCTTCTCTCTATTTTGATTTTTAGAGTGAAACCACCTGAAGTGGATCTGCCTGTTCTCAGCAAAGCCAGGAGGGGCAGTAAGAAGGCGGTCCCCTGGAAAAAACAGGCCTTCAAGAGATGATGCTGCCCCTACGGCTACCCAGAGCTCCAAGCCTGGACACAGCTCCTCTCACATCCACCCCAGCCCTGCCTCCCAAGCCTCCCACCCCCTTTCTCTGAGCCTCTGCATAATAAATAAGCGTGCCTCCAGCATCTGGTTGAGGCCATGGGATAGGCTGGCTCCTACAAGGCCCCCCCACAGCCCTGTTCTAGGCTGAGTCTGTGGAAACCAGAGCTTCCTCTGTGACCATTTAAATCAGCCAGAAAATCCCACATTCCCAAGGAAACAGATGTCCCACTCCAAGGGGGCCAAGCCAAAGGGTATATTAACCCTGGGGAGGTCGTGGATGAGACTAAATTGTGCCCTCCTACCCTTAACAGGGTGGAAAAGGGCTTCTGGCCCAGATGGATAAGAGGGGATGAGAGCAAAGAGGGAGGAGAGAGACAGAGAAGGAGAGAAGGAACAGATGGAAGACAAGATGGAGGGAGAGCTGGAGAGCCACTAAGAAGTGGGCCAGGGGAGGACTGAGGGAGGAGGAAACTAGGGAAGAGGGAGAACAAGGGAAAGGGTCACAGAATGGGATGAAAAAGATGGTGACAGGCCATGCCCAGGGGCCCCTTGGTGGCATCCTGAAAGCCAGAGCGCCTGTGGCCCCCAGTGTGTTAATGTCCCCATGTGCCCAGCCTCAGTACCTTTTGGTGGATTAGACACCCCTTCCTGAGCTGACAGGCCTGAAGAGTCCTTCCCAGCATCAGGGACCCAGAGATGGCAGCCCCCTCTCCACCTCTCATGTGCTGACTACCCCCTGGTGGTAGTCACCAGCTCTGGGTCTGTTTGTCTGAGGTTCCCAAGAGCCACTTCCCAGAGCAGGGCCTGGACCCCAGAGGGTCTGCCTGGTTCTTCAAACTTGGAAAAGACTTCAGGCCCTGATCTGTGGGCAGTGTTTGGTGATGTGCTCTACACTTAACTACTTCTGCCCCTTTGGAATAGATGCTTTTTTCAATTTGAATTTTTTGAGGTTTAATTTTTATCCTTTGTATCATTCAAAGGCTTGTTTTGAATTATACATTTATTCCCCTAGAAATGGATTTGAAATGGCATGCTATGTTCTTAAGCTTGCATCTCTTGATACGTAAGGGCTTGATATTTGCTAGGGGTCCTGGGCATCTAACTACTCTTCCCCCCACACCGCCCCTCTGAGCACAAGGGCATACAAGGATTAGAAGGCAAGGGGGAGCAAATTCCACCTCTGTCCTGGCATGCAGGCACCCTCCAGCCCCTCAGGCAGGACTCTGGTAAAGACTGGAATGGAGACACTGGCCCTCCTACCTTCTTCCCTGAATTGAACCCTTGGGCCTGCATGTTAAGTCATGTACTTCAGAAGCTGCGTGCACAGGGACCACAGAACTGTCTCTAAAGGGCAGGCACCAGCCCAATTCAAGGTGCTTGCCACACTGAAAATTTGCCAAAAATGAGCGGACTTGAGCAGGGACGTCTCTCACTGGTGAAATGGGGCCCAGTGAATGTCCAGTGCTACATAATCAAATTGTCTCTTGAGGAGGAGGGAGAAAAGAAGGAGCCTCTTTGTCCACAGAAACATCAGGAGAGGGGGATAAGGTTTCAATCCCCGACAATGTCCCCAGCAAACCAGGTATTATGGGAAGATGTGAAATTATCTGAAAGAGTCATAAACTCTTGTCCGACTACAGCAGCTAGACTTTTCTTTCAAGCTCCCTCCTGTCATCTTCTTCCTTGGATTAGGGAGGTCCAAGGCTTTCTAAAGCAAAACGGTGTATCATGACTCAAGGGGACACTCCAGAGATGGCAAACACACAACATACCTGCTTCTCCCCCCAGGTCCTTGCAGGCATCATTAATCAATCACAACACTTGGAACTCAAGTGATGCTTCAGAAAACATCTTTAGCACAAAGGTCCAAACTGCCAATTAACTACCAATCTTTGCCATCCGTGGAGTAGTCCTCTCCTCTACCTGGGCCTCAGTTTTTTGAAAGATTTCTTGGGGGAAGTGAGGGTAGAATTAGAGCCAGAGCCTAGAGGATAGGTTTTGTTACGAGGCCTTGCTGTGTGCTATCTGTGCCAGCAGGAAAGTAAGGAGTGGCCCAATTACTCACCTCCTAGATACTCAGTCAATCAGGGGGCCATTTAATGGTCAGTAGCCCCAGGGTCTATAAGAAATGGGAACAGGATGCTCTTATCACTGAGCACTCTTTCCCCAATTCTTGTTCAAGTTGACCCAGTAGAGGGCCCAGGAAAGGGGAAGACTATATCATGAATAGACTCAAAGAAAATTAAAACTGGAAGGAAAGCCAGGGATTAGGGCATCTAATCTCTTACTTTATAAAGAGGGAGACTGAGGCCCTGAGAAAGGAAGGGACTGCCAGAGGCCTTACAATCAGCATATGGTTGCATTAGGCAAAGTCCCTGGTGCTGAATCCATTCTTTCTCCTCCACCCAGGGCCAGAGGAAGAGGGAACCAGGCAAGACAAAAATCAGACTTCCATTTCCAACAATAGTATGGATTAAATGGCCTGAAAAAAAAAAATCACATTGCAAAACACATAGAAATGTTGAATAACATAAATCAAATATCCTTTTAATGCATACTGGAGCTCACAAGGTAGTAAGGAAAATCTATAGGTGCTGAAAAGAGGACTCAGGAAACCAAGTATTAAGCAAGCATTAAAACCACAGCTGTCCTGAGGCTGTTTTGTTAATCTCAATGACCCAGAACCTGGGCTTTAATGGTTGTAGAGAGACATGAGAAAAAACCTTGGGCCTGAACAAGACACCAGACTTTAAATAAGACTCCTAAATATAAATCTGGGACCCTTGATACACACAAAATGACAAGGGAATTTGAATGTCTTAGCCTTAGAGAAAAAATGTTTTGGACCTAAATGTGAATGTATAATCCAGGTCTGCCTTCAGAGAGATTTTGGGTTTAAATATATGTACATGCTGTCTTTGAGGTCTGGGAACCCCTCAGAATGCTTGGTGGAAGCAAACAAATCCTCTCTGATGATGATCACTCTCAACCTAGACTTCACAGGATTCCCACAGAGATAATCCAATTGAGCCTGAGCTCACAATCCAAAATTTAAAAGTGTAAGCCAAAGCAAATGAAAATATCAAACATTAAATTAGACATCCAAGATTTTGGATATTGGACTTCTCAGACAATATAAGATAAATATTTTCTTAATGTTTAAATATGCAAAAGAAGGAACTGAAAACATAAGCAAGGAACAAGATATAACTAAACAAAAAAGAGATGGCCTGAATTTTGCTTCCAGACATGTTGGAGTAACTGGTACTGGAGTGGGTCTCTTGAAAAATAATAAGGCAAGAGAAACAAAGTTCTACAAATCCCCAGGTTTCTCTCAGAGATACTTTCTGGATCATGGTGCAGGGAAGGAGAATTCAAGCAGAATATGATAGTATTGCTGAACTGAGGAGAGAGATCAGAATTTGGGGAGACAAGTGGTGATTGGAATTTGTGGAGCAGAGTATCAGAGAAGAGAGAGTTATGCAGAGAGAACCCTCAAAATCTGTCTAGGGGTCTCCTTGAGTCTTCAGCTGAATGCTAAACTGCACATGTTTAGGGCATGGCTTCATGAGACCAGGTAAAGAAATACAGGGGAGCTGTGAAGTGACAGTTCACAGATGGTTGGGAGACGTTCAAGTTCCAACCAGTCAGAAGTAGACACATGGGCCAGTAACTTCTTTGACATCAGCCATAGCAACTTCTTTCTAGGTATGTCTCTTGAGGCAAGGGAATCAAAAGCAAAAACAAACCATTAGGACTACATCAAAATAAAAAGCTTTTGCACAGCAAAGGAAACAATCAACAAAATTAAAAGGCAACCTACAGAATGGGAGAAAATATTTGCAAAGGACATATCTGATAAAAGGTCAGTATCCAAAATATATAAAGAACTTATAAAACTCAACACCCAAAAAACAATCTAGTCAAAAATGGGCAGAAGACATGAACAGACATCTCTCCAAAGAAGACATACAGTTGGCCAACAGACACATGAAAAGATGTTCATTGTCCCTTACCATCAGGGAAATGCAAATCAAAACCACAGGGAGGTATCTCCTCACACCTGTCAGAATGGCTAAAATCAACAACACAAGCAACAACAGGTGTTGTCAAGGATGTGGAGAAAAAGGAACCCTCTTGCAATGCTGGTAGGAATGCAAACTTGTGCAGTCACTGTGGAAAACAGTATGGAGGTTCCTCA